ATTCCAATAGAAAAATGCTTTACACGGTACATTTATTTTTAATCAAACAAATCATAGAGTGGGTCGTCCGTCACAGTTTACTAATTTCTTATTATTATTCATAATATTATAATACATCTTTCTCCTCTCGTTAAATTGCATTATTGCATTCAAAAACCGCATATAGACTTTCGTTTGCATCCCCTCCCTCCTGTACTAAAAACCTTTTAAGGGTGATTATTAGTTGTTTGATTAATTGGAGAAAATAAGCGGTTTCTTCACATAAACCGTGAAAACCCGTTTTATAATTCGAGGCATGTAATTTTTGATTATTTATAGGTTTTTGTTCGGAGCTGATGATTTTTGCCTCTCATCGTCGAAAACTTTTTCGAGCAGCTTCACGGCCGATTAGTGACGACAACGATGACACTATAGAAAAACGTGATTAAATATTTCGGATTCGACGCCCCGAGTCCGAGTCTGTAGCTAAAATAATAAGAGGCCCCTTTTGGGTTAAAATCTCGCTGTCAAAATATCAACAGAACGGGGGCCCCAATTAAAGCGGTGTCAGGAGCATTCCCTGTGAGAGATTGTGGTCACACGGTCCTGCACTGAACTTTATCGAAACTTACTTATATTAAAGTTGTATAATACTGTCAAAGATTCCGTTGAGCAAGTTTTTGGCACCTAATTTATTGCCACCGACAACCGAAAATCTTAATGATCAATCATGTAGAAAATTAATATCACAAAAGACAATAATTTTTGTTAACGGCTGAACACTTCGCTATCGGTAAAAATGAAAGTAAAGTTTTATCAAGCAAATCGATGTTTTTGGAATTTTGTACTATAGAAAACAATAATTTAAATCCATCAATGGAAGCTTCCATATGAGAATTATATTATGCACGTACTCACTCAATGAAAAAACCGTTTTCTCAGGTAGCAGAAATTGATTTTGATGCCCCCTTATACAATATACTGATTGTTTTAAGATTATATCTTCTGAATGGAAATGATGTGGTGGATAATCGAATATAATATTGGTGATGTGTTATATTTAGTAGGCTTCTCGATTTCAAAGTATCGTTATATTGAGGAGGGATTTATTTATTAAAGGAAGTTCGTGCTGCTTCCAGAACTCAAATTCAGACACTTGTTGCATTCAAATTGAAGGCTTGATGCATTATTCATCTTTGGTTTTCTTAACGGGTTCTGTAATTGTTTTTTCTTTGATATTAACAACAAAAGACTCAAAATATTTGAAACTTTGAATCAGGAAATATGGAACAAATGAGTGAATCATTGTAATGAAGACAACTCACACATATTACTCTTATTCGCTTATTAAGAAACTGTTCAATGAATTGGTTGAGAGAGTTTTACTGATTAGAGTTCTTCTTCTTCTCCTTCGCGGAAGCCTTAAGGCTTGTTATATTCATTTATTTGTCCCTCCTGGGATGCCGACGACCAGCTGTCCTTCCACCTCTTGGGGGGCCTTCCTGGTGGTCTGCTGGATGCTGGTTTTCCTTTTCTGGCGATTTTTGCCAGTCTGTGGTTTTCCATCTTGGATATGTGCTCGTTCCAGAAGCGTCTCCTAGCGCGTGTTCATCTAACCACGTCCTCTGTCTTGCACTCTTCCCTGATTTCGTTACTCCTTCTTTGATCCCAAAATGATCATTCTTATAGTATTCTCATTTCATTGGTTCGTGCCATAATCCTTTTTATTTCTGCTGTGTCAGCTCGTGTTTCTGCCGTGTATGTCATTACCGGCCTGACACATGCTTTATATTATATTCTAACTTTGGTCGGGGTTGCTATGCATGTATTTTTCCATATAGTTGTTCGTGAGGCTCCTGCTATCCTGGCTGTCTTGTTTACCTGGTTCCGTATTCCGTACGCCATTTTTGAGTTTACCATATGGTAATATGGTTATTCCCAGATAGTTGAATTCAAAAACCTAATCTATTATTTTGTTGTTTGGTTCTAGTTTGCATTTGCGTGGTTCCCTGGTGATCACCATGCTTTTTGTTTTGGTGGAAGATATTTCCATGTTAACTTTTTCGGCCTCTTTCTTAAATGCCTGTAAGAGCCATTATTATTGCAGTCCGTTTTCCGTGTCTGCGAATAGTGTTGCGCTGTCTGCGTAACATATTATTTTAATTTGTTGGTTTCCCGTCTTGAATCCCTGGGCTGGGATCACGACAAGTAGAATTCTACTTCCATGACGTCACTCGCGACCTATTTATCTCGTACAGTACAGGCGATGCTAGGCAACTTGACGTCATAAAAATAAAAGTAGAATTATAATAGAATTCTACTTGTCGTGATCCCAGCCCTGGTCTATTTTGCACACTTGCTCTATTATTCTGTCCATTATAATGTTGAACAGTAGTGAACTGAGACTGTCTCCCTGTCGTATCCCTTTTCCTCGCTTGTGTCGTCAACATTGAATCCGTCCTGTTCCAAGGTAATGCTTGGGTTCTGTGAGCATAGCGATTGTTTTATGGAGGGTATAGGTTGGTAGCCTTGCCCTCCAACTTTCCTCCTTTATCCAGGCTTGGGACCGGCAGTGGCACCATCTGAGCTACTGAATCCACCCAGCGGTACCCCAAGCGGAGGCAAGTCTTTTTAGGTACCCTAGACGGTGTATCTTGGTACTGCCTATAACTTCCAGTACCAGTTGTGCCCGAGAATAGGGTGGAAATGTCCAGATTTTCACAAAAACACTTTTTTTCGATGAATCGCAATTATTAGGTTTACCCCCTTGAACCTTGAACCACCCTCAAAGTTATTTGCAATAAGGGCGGGTATTATAAAACTGCTTTGACAGTTAACTTGAAGTTAACTTTTTGAATTACATGTAATTCCAGAAGTTAACGTTAAGTTAACTCTCAAAGTAGTTTTATAATACCCGCCCTAAGTCTTATCAAAGTTGCCGATGGATGACATATAAAGTATAAAAAGTTTATACAGAAGGAAACTACCTACTAGACACATTGGAAGTATTAAGACAAATTAGCGTGTACCCACTCTCAACGAATCGCGAGGCGGTACACTGTACACTGTGGCGGTACTCCGGTACTGCCGAGTATAACCGAACTGCTGAAGATGCACGGATTTCAATACCATGCAGCTCGGAGGATATGAGTACCAGTCAACTAGTCCCATTGAAACTTAGGTGTTTAGTAGCCTGGGCTGGGATCAAGACGAGTAGAATTCTACTTTCATGATGTCACCCGCGACCTATTTATCGCGTACAGTACAGGCAATGATAATATACAGTGAGGGGCAGGCTACTAGGTATATAGGATATAACTTGACGAATTTGCAGGCGTCCGCATGTGGCAAAATGACAAATATATTTAGTGCTAAAGGGTCATTTACATCCACTTAACTTAACTTGACGTACGGAAAATTAATAATAAAAAAAATTTGAAGATCACATAGTTGTTACATCCACTTAAAAATTAAGAAAATTAACGTGATACACGTTGAACCAACTTAAGAAAATCCGTGCAATAAATAATAATTTCCATTTCTGTGCATATAATTTGACTTGACAGTTCAGGTTATAAGTTCGAATACGTCATGTAAGATAATTTACTTCATTGTTAACCATTGTTAACAGACACCTTCTCAGTTTCGTACGTTAGTTATAATTTTCCGTACCTTAAGTTAAGTTAAGTGGATGTGAATGACCCTTAACTCATGACAACCAGGTAAAAACAAAACGTGAAAAGACTTGTCACTCAAAAAACTAAGGCTAAAGACACAATGGCTGAGATACGTTTTCGGATACGAGACTAGACTAGGCCCGTAACTATGCGGACTACGAAACCACCGTATCTATTCTGCGCGTGCGCAGATCGATGCGGAGGCGGATACATATAAATATTCAGGATAAGCAAGTAGACACTTTAAGCAGGTCCTGAATTTCAAACGTAGGTATCTAACGCAGGATAGATAGTAAATACGGTGGTCTCGTTGCGTTACGTTGTCCGTATCGTTACGGGCCTAGCCTCGTATCTGTATCCGAAAACGTATCTCAATCATTTGACACTATTGAGGGATCTGCCTGTCAGTTATTACTAAAATAACTTCAAGAACATAAACACAGTACTTATGGATAAAAATAAAACCTACAAACACAGCTACAAAATCAAAACAAAACTTTTTGTGGTTAGAAAACGTGTCATCCAAGGATACGATCGTTTACGTAACGTATGACCATGAAAGGACTTTTAGGCGGTCAACGTAACTCGATGCGTTCACAGAAGCGGATACGGATACGTAGGAATATTTAGGGTTTGCTTAAAGTGTCTAGTGTCTACATTGATAACCAACGCTTAGCTATTTGCACGCGTAAACTTAATAATTATAAATAAATAAAGCTTGACGAAATATCTGAAAGCATGGCGCAGATGCTACATTTTGCACAACGTTTTGTCTGCATACAGTTAAACACTTAGAGCAGGTAAAGCGCTGTCCTACGGACATAAGGAGTAGGAACGAGCCATTCTGCTATGACACTAAAGTGAAGCCAGTTTTTGGCAGGTGTTTGTACACCAAATGACAGGTAAAGCATTGAATTGCCTATATCGCCATTATTTTGGATCTCAAAATACCTGGAAAAATACGGCTTCAAATTCCAACTTTATGTTCCTACTCCTCCCACCTAGGAAATTACCTGCTCTAAGGTTAAACACGTTGCAGACAAAACGTTTTGATCAATAAGCTGAACCGTAGCGTCTGAACCGTGCTTAAGTCTGTATCTAAATCGTACTGAAGTAAACAAACGTCAAAGTTGTTGAACGAACGACAGTGACAGGGGTTCAAACGGCTGCGGACGGTGGTAAATTCGTCAAGTTGGATCCTATATACCTAGTAGCCTGCCCCTTACTGTATAGGTCTTTGGTAACCTGACGTCATGAAAGTAGAATTCTACTTTGCGTGATCCCAGCCCAGGTCCTGTCTGTATAGAAATTATACACAAACTTACCAATTTTTCCATTTTCCAGAAAATCCCAACAGTGGCTGCTCGACGATCCATTACACACCAAACTCTTGGCCGGATTGCGGGGGCGGCAGTTACGCCACCTACAGCTCCTCGAATTTTTACGATACGCCGCCCCCGCACCAAGACGTTACGAATATGCACATACCGACAACAGGTAATTTCAATTTATAATGAAACAAAAAAAAATTACCCAGAATGCTATTACTCCGTTTCGTAAATTCAAAAATTTGACAGTAGAGTCGGTATTACAGTTATCGATAATACAAGTATTTTGATTAACATTTTATTTTCAGTTTTATCCGATAGTGGCGCCATCTCTTCCACCACCACCGAATTCCTCAACTCGTCCCTAACGCGAAACTCACCGCCCACTTTCGTCGGCATCTCTCACAAGCCCGACCTGATGGACTCTGCATTGCCGACCGGTCGCAGCTACCACCAAGAAGCCCCCTACTGCCCGAACAGTTGGGGGGCGGCCGCCTACCATTCCGCCCCCTACAACAACAACTACTACAACGCCACCTACAACCATCAGCATTTCAACGCACCGCCGCCTCCGACAGGCCCATCGGCCGCCGCTGTCGTGTATCCTGCCGCCATCATTTCGACGGTCAATCAAAATCAAATTCATTTTCACTTGCACAGCGATCTTAGGAATGACTTTTTTATGAGCGAAAGTTCGGATTTAGTTGCCAGCAGGCAAGAGCTGGCAACTGTGCCTGCTAGTAGTACTAGTGAGGTGAATTCAGTTTTACAGGAAACTGCTAGAGAGGAAAATAATGTTGTCGGACAGGATCCTGCTAATGTTTGGAGGCCCTATTAATTGATTTTGTTCCAAATCAATATTAAAATTCAAAGAAACAATAAAATATTGATTGGAATATAAATATACCTATTATTATTTATATTTTTCTTTTATATTAAACTATTTTAAATTTAAGGCCAGTTTATTCATCTTCAGGTAACTGTCTGCAAGATAAGTTTACCGTTCAATACTTCTATTGGTCGGCGGATAACAGCCCGACAGATTGCGTTTTTATCCTTCAGATTGCATACCTGACAGTTAATCAGAAGGTGACTAAACTGGCCCTTAATACTATAATGTATAAATTGTAAATTGTTTTTAATTTTTTTTCTTATTATTATTTCATCAAAAATTGTTGTAAATAAACATTTTAAGCAAATTAAACTTTGAGTATTAATTAATTTTGAACCAAATATAGCATTGGTCAAGTTGTTGCATTATTCTGTAGTTGCCTCATACAGGAAGTTCTAATGTCGACTACTAGATGGCGCTCACTAGTTTTTTTTTTTTTATAAGATACCTAAAAATTGTATAAATTGGTTTATATAGAGTAATAGGGAGCTTTATTCACGTAGAAGCATCAAAGTCCTAAAAGAAAACAAATTTGGTAATTTTTAAAATAAAATTCAATAAAGAAATACGAATTTTCGTGCCATTAAAATTTAGCATGTCGATTACGATACGATCTAAAGATTCAAGATGCACTGAGTGTAGTTCCATCTCTTTCTCTCATCGTTTGAAAGAAAGAAATAGAAATACTCTTCACAATAATTCATACAACTGGAAACGCCATAATAAACAATGACATTTGTCAGATTTATCTTGTCATTTCGTTCTTCGATTGGCAATTGGCGGGATAGTGGTTGTTATTTTAGGCCGTTTCCCTTTTTTAATTTGAAAAAAAACTCATCAATTATTGCATATTAAACGTGAGCAACAATGGGCACGTTGGTGGAGAAAGTCGATCCAGGTATGTGTACGATTTTCCATTGAAAAAACACAAAGCTACTGTATTTTTTTATCATTAGAAACCTTCGACGATGCCGTTGAAGAACGCGTCATAAACGAAGAATACAAAATATGGAAGAAAAACACCCCATTCCTGTACGATTTGGTAATGACCCATGCGTTGGAATGGCCCTCCCTCACTGCCCAATGGTTGCCTGACGTTACCAGGCCGGAAGGCAAAGACCACTCATTACACAGACTGATTTTGGGCACCCACACCAGCGACGAACAAAACCATTTATTAATTGCCAGGTAAACCCACCCCATCCACCCACCACTGACAATAATTTGTGTGAAATAATTAAACTTTACAGTGTTCAATTGCCTAATGAAGACGCCCAATTTGATGCTTCTCATTATGAAAACGACAAAGGGGAATTTGGGGGCTTTGGTTCTGTTTCCGGAAAAATCGAGATTGAAATCAAAATCAATCATGAAGGGGAAGTCAACAGAGCTAGATACATGCCTCAAAATCCTTGTGTTATTGCTACAAAAACCCCTTCCAGTGATGTGCTTGGTAACTGCTTTTTTTTGTAGGGACTGGATGCTCGTCCGATAATCGGATTAATAGTGTTTTTGTTTCTATTCCGATTATCGGGTTACTAGTTTATTTTGTTATTGTTCCGCAAAATGTTCACTTATTATTTTCGGACTAATAGCATTTGCTCATATTATTCCGAACATTTCTATATTTTTAGAAAAAAGTAGTTGGCGCGGTGGTTGGAGTTTGACAGGTTGTTGAATTGCCTAATTAGAGACCAAAAATTTCATTGTAGCACCATGTTGAGACACAACCCCTATAGCCAAAGGGGGCAAGGGCGCGGAAGAGGAAACTTTCTGACACCGGTGTTTTTACACTAAGGACACCCCTCTTAAACAATCCTGAAAAAATCAGCTCTCCCCTAATTTTTTTTCACACCGTCCAAAAATACAATTATCTTTGACTGATATTACCATTCAAGAAGTTTTTTTTTTTTTTTCACTGTATAATCATGTATAGGTACTGTCCTTGCTTTTCACATGCCTTTGCTATGTCATTTAAATCTTTTACCACCTTGATGGCAAGTATATTCTAATAGGTAGTATACCAATTCTGCCTTAGCCTGTTGGCATTTTTTGGGACAACTTTTTGCAATTTTTTACCATCTCTTTTATATAGGGATATTAGTAACTCCTTTTCATTTGTCTTTATGTAAGATTCTACTTTATTATAAGAATTGAAACTTTTCCCTTGTTTCTAACGCGAGGGGTTTTTTACCTTGTTAATCGGTGTACAAATCACTGGTTAATATATGTCAATACCAGGTAAATACTATGTCAGTAGTGTCAATACAATGCAATACCTATTTGTTAATTATGTAGGGAATATATGTCAATACTTGTACATAGATATCTAGGCAATATATTGGGTCTTCAAAAAAAAAACAAATCGAAGATTGCTCTGATTGCGAAAACGTATGTCGCATTACTGTTTCTTTATTAGTCAGAATTTTTGACATGACATTTTGACATTAAAGTTCATTGACAAATTGAAGAAAAATATTGCTAAGACCTACGTTTGAAAAACCATAGCAATCTTTGATTGGTTTTTTTTTGAAGACCCGATATCTTAAGGCAAAATTATGGACCAACTGGTAAGTGTATTGTTGTTACCTAGCAGGTACTTTCTATTCTTTAGTGCATATAAAGTACCTGCTAGGCGAGGGGTGTCTCACGCTGTTAAATTTTGTATACCTATTTCCTTTTTAGAAATGTTTTTCTGATATTGTCCATAATTTTCGAAATTTCCTGAATATTTGGAATTTTTATAAGTATTTACTATAATTTCTAAAATTTCCTAAATAATTTATGAAACTTCCTGAATAACTGCCGGAATTCTCCAAATAATTACTAGTTTCCTATGAAATTTCTGACATTCCTGAAACAAAAATTGATAATTTTCAAAATTTCCGAGAGATTTTCAATTTTCACCTAAATAATTTCTCCCCAAAACTTTCAAACATCTCTACAATATTCACTGTAGTTTTCTAGAAATGATCATTTACTTACATTTTACACATTACTGTGATACTTCTATCAAGGGGTAAACCACCTCCCCAGAATTTGTGCAAACAATTCCTCAAAGGGGAATTTTCTAGGCATTTTCTCCCAAAATTCCTCCAAATTCCTCTAAGTTCCCTGCAATGTCCCACAAATTCCTGCAAACTCTTCTCAAATTCCCCACAAATGCCTCTTACAAATTCCCTGAAAATCCTCAAAATTGCTGGTGATAAGTTTATTTTTTTAAATTTTTCAGATAAACTTGCTGGTAACTATCTATAAGATAAATTTACCCATTTCATAATCCCTTTGGATTGGTTAAGGAATAACTAGCCAACCAATGGGATTACAAATTGCGTTTTATCCGTCAGATTGGATTACAGTTACAGGATAGTTTATCAAAAGGTAAATAGATCGGCCCTTAGTGTTAAAACACAAGAGCAGTTTATCAAGTAGGATCAAATGCAAGGTTAGGCATAGAGAAACAGACCAAAAAGTCTGTTTCTCTATGAGGTTAGGTTACTTGACTTTAGAGCTAAAAATAATGATTGGTTTCCGGTAATCCAGAATGCAGGGATTTAAACTGAGGTTTAAACTAACCTAAACCTGCATTTGATATTTCAAACAACTTAGATATGTATATTGTTCCACAATATTCAGGGTATATTATTTCTTTTTATTTCAAATGGACCTTTTCCTAAAAGTTGAACAGGTTTACAGGACCATGAACAATAAATTGAATGTGAACCTCAGCATAGGCTAAGTAGGCCATACGAATGTGGTCCCTTTTCAATAATTTGAAAATAAGTATACCATTTTTTCAACGTTGAGCCTCTTTTTCATATATTATGATACTAGGATACAATATATTCAGATTCAAATACATATAAACTTAAAACTTGTATCAACTTCAAGTAGCTTCAAGTTCCTTTGCACTCAGGGTCATTTTTAAGGAGATTTTGTACCTCTTCTGGAAAAGTTCATCCTATCTTCTGGAACAATGTCAGAATTAACTAATAAATGTTCACTTTTATTATGTTTTCCCTCGTGTTTTCCTCGGTGTTTTCCAATTCCCATATTAAAATGATTTACTGAAATTATGTAATCTCCATCCTCTAATGACCAATAATTTTTTTCTTATCTGGCCCCAATATGAACAATATCTTGAATGTAGCATTGAAATCCATTCAAGTCTAAGTGGATCTAATTCCAAAAGGTTTTTCCTTGAGTATTTAACTGAGTATTCTTTTAAATTTGAACCTGTAGATCGTGAAGTGAAATTTTGGGAGAATTTCTTTGATAGAAATGAATGTCCAACGTCCAACACAAAACTAGATTTTTTCAAAAATTTCCAATTATTAATGTTTCTTATAATAAGAATGTGAACCTCAGTGACGTCATGACCCTACAATTTCCTTTAAATTCCTCATAAATTCCTGACAAATTCCTCCAAATTCACTGGAAAGTTTTTTTGAATAACTAATTGAGGAAATGATTGAAAATTTTTGCAATTGGAGAGGAAGGTTAGGTTATTTTCCCAAAATTTCAAATTTTTCCAGGGGAAAATAACAACATGAAAAATCTTGGAAATCAACTTAGAAAAAGTGAATTAATTGAAAATAAAAATTTCACACATTTCAAAGTTTTCCTGGAAAACTAATTGAAGAAAAACTCGAGAAAAAATCTTGAAACTTTTTGCATGTAAAGAGGAAGGATAGGAGCTCATTTTCCCAAAATTTCAAATTTTTCCATTGGAAAATAACAATATGGCGAATCTTGGAAAACAGCCTACAAAAACTGAATTAATTGACAGACCAGTCTCATACCATTCAAAAACTTCTTGGAAAACTAGTGAAGGGAAACATTTTGCATGTGAAGAAGAAAATTAGGAGCTCATTTTCCTCATCATTTTCCCATCATATCAAATTTTTCCAGTGGAAAATAACAACATGACAAATCTTAGATAACAGTCTACAAAAACTGAATTTAAATTGAAAGACAGTCTCACACAATTCAAAGTTTTCCTGAAAAACTAGTGAATGGAAAATTTTGAAACTCTTTGCATGTAAAGAGGAAGGTTAGAGGTTCATTTTCCGAAAATTTCAAATATTTTCCAGTGAAAAATAACAACATAAAGAATCTTGGAAATCAGCTTACAAAAACTGAATTAATTAAAAATACAGTCTCACAAATTTCAAAGTTTTTCCGGAAGATTGATGAAGGGAAAATTTTGAAACTTTTTACATGTAAAGAGGAAGGTTAAGAGCTCATTTTTCCAAAATTTATAAATTTTTCCAGTGGAAAATAACAACATGAGAAATTTTGAAAATTAACTTAAAATCTCGCTTAAAATAACTGAATTATTTGAAAGTACCTATATACTTTCTTAAACATTTCAAAGTTTTCCTGAAAAACTAATAGAGGCAAAATTTTGGAACTTTGCATGTGAACAGGAAAGTTAGGAGCTTATTTTCCCAAAATTTTAAATTTTTCCAGTGGAAAATTACAACATGCAAAATATTGAAAATCAACTAACATTAACTGAATTATTTGAGAATAAACTCTCACACATTTCACAGTTTTTTTGGAAAACTAGTACAGATAGGGAAAATTTTGAAACTTTCTGCATTTAGTGAGGAAGGTTAGAAGCTCATTTTCCCAAAATTTTATATTTTTTCTAGTAGAAAATAACAACATGAAGCTTGACTTCTATAGTTTATGAGATGTGTTTATACATAGGTATACCTACCTACTTACTTACCTTTATTTTGTTAGCAGTTAGGCATTTTTATTCACAAAATATTGAACAGGAACTAAACAATATGCGATACACAAAAATTCTCAAAGATTTCTGGTGAAAATTTCCTAATTTCCTATAATAATTTCAGTGAATTTTCTATAATTTCGAATAATTTCCTAACAGATCCTGACATTTCCCAAAATTTCCAAACATTTCCTATAATTTCTGAGAATCAACATAATTTGTGACAATTTACAGGAAATTTCTGTAATTTCTCAACATTTCCGGAAATTATTTTGAGATTTGTAGACCTATTTCCAACCGTGAGACACCCCTGCTAGGTAACAACCAGATGTTTACCAGTCAGTCCATAATTTGATCGTTAATGTCATTGGTTGATACTCATTAATAACTTGTACAGACCTGTGGATATGTCAATACCTAGAATGCTGGCAAGACAAATATTTTATTTCAGTCTGTCAATAGCATGGCAATACCTGGTAACATGTGATAATACTAGGGAAATACTTTGCAATATGTGGAAATATTTTGTGAATACATGGAAATAGTTGGCAATAACTTGTTATTAGGTACATAAAAATATCTGTTAATACATGGAAATATCTCAGTTAGTACTGTTAATCGGTGTACAAATTTTGTTAGGTGGAAAACCCCTCGTTCTAACGTTTTTTGAATCCATAGTGTTGTAATAATTCTAATTCTACTCTTTAATAATTGCACTACGTAATACATATTTACAAATCAACTAACTAGGTATCACCGTATTAACATAATATAAGGGAACCTCTAACCTATTTCAAACCATAAATCATTTTCGGAATAATATGAATGAATCCTAATAGTCCGAAAAAAATATCTTAAGTAATAGGTAAATTCTTAAATTATTTTGCGGAATAATAACAAAACAAACTAGTAGCCCGATCATCGGAATAGAAACAAAAACACTATCATTCCGATTATCGGACGAGCATCCAGTCCCTTTTCTGTATCACACAAGCACATTATTTATTGTATTTTTTTAATAGTTTTCGATTATACCAAACATCCAAGTAAACCAGACCCCAATGGCGAATGCCACCCTGATTTGAGACTGAGAGGCCACCAAAAAGAAGGTTACGGATTGTCCTGGAATCCCAACTTGAATGGATATTTGCTGTCAGCTAGCGACGACCACACCATCTGCTTGTGGGACATCAATGCCACCCCAAAAGAACACCGTGTCATTGATGCCAAAACAATCTTCACTGGCCACACCGCAGTAGTTGAAGATGTGGCCTGGCATTTGCTCCACGAGAGTTTGTTTGGTTCAGTAGCTGATGACCAAAAATTGATGATTTGGGACACCCGGTGCAACAATACCAGTAAACCTTCTCACACAGTAGATGCTCACACTGCTGAAGTCAATTGCTTAAGTTTCAATCCTTATTCAGAGTTTATTTTGGCCACAGGCTCAGCTGATAAAACTGTTGCCCTGTGGGATTTGCGCAACCTCAAACTCAAACTGCACAGTTTTGAGTCACACAAAGATGAAATCTTCCAAGTCCAATGGTCCCCACACAATGAAACTATTTTGGCTTCTTCAGGCACTGACAGGAGGCTACATGTTTGGGATTTGAGCAAAATCGGTGAAGAACAATCTGCGGAAGATTCTGAAGATGGTCCTCCTGAGCTGTTGTTCATTCATGGCGGGCATACAGCTAAGATTTCAGATTTCAGTTGGAACCCCAACGAGCCTTGGGTGATTTGTTCAGTGTCTGAGGATAATATTATGCAAGTGTGGCAAATGGCTGAAAATATTTATAATGATGAGGAGCAGGACCAGCAGCCTACTGATATCGATAATGTTGCCCTTTAAGATTAATTAAGTTATATGTTTAAGGTATTTAATCATGATAATCAAACTTTTTTTGTGTTGTAATGATGTATTCTTGATTTATTTGTACACTTTTGCAGTTTTTTGGTTCTAATAAATAAGTTAATTTAATTGTCTTTGTTTTATAAATCCGTTAAGTGCGGCTAGATCAATTATTGTTTCTTAAGCTTCTGTTAATTAATGAAAACCTCGGAATGTGGCACACAAAACCAATCATATTGGAGACTAACACAATCTAAGGTTGTAGTTAACTAACCAGTACTTAGTATAAGAATGTGTCTTCAGCAAGAAAACAGTATAATAAAAAAATAAGCTTATCACTCAAACCTAATACAATATAAGATTATCTTTATTCGTCCAACCTTGAATTCTTGTGACCTTAAAGCGATTAATGTTAAATATTTCGCAGGCAGGATATTTTTTTTAGTTTCACTTTGGTTGCCATTTCAAGCAGTTAAAATGGAAATTAATTTTCATGGGAAACGTGCTTTAGTTACCGGAGCTAGCCAAGGTATTATTTGGTTTATGATTTTTTCATTAATATATTGAGTTTTTATAGGTATTGGCCGGGAATTAGTTAAAAAGCTAGTACTATGTGGCGCCAAAGTCATTGCTGTTGCTAGAAATCAGCAACTTCTAGGTAAGTAATAGTTACTTATCAGTGCTTCATTGACTTTTCAATCTTAGAATCGCTCCAAAAGGAAGTTCCAAGCATTGAAATTATCGCTGCCGATTTATCAAATTGGAAAAATACTGAGGAAGTCTTAAGTAAAATAGGAAATGTGGATTTGTTGGTCAATAATGCCGGTTTGGCCATATTGGGACCTTTGACTGAAGTCACTGAGGAAGATGTGGATAAGTATGTGAACTAATTCGTTTTAAGGTGGAAAACGAAATTTTCCTTTGTACAGGGTGTTTCAGTCCATTTTATTTTGGTTGTAGATAAAGGATAACTTAGTGTTCGAGAGAAAAATACTTATTTCTTTTTTAGTAAGAAATAATGTGTTGGAGAAGGACATTATAACTACAGGGTGTTTCCATTAGGTGTTGATATTTATTTTAAAACAATGTAACTCAGCACGCCACTGTTTTTGGTGTATTTAGAAAATACAACTTTTCATGTGTTGAATATACATATTTTTATATCTATCTAGTTTTGAGAAAACATAAATGAAATCAATTCTCTTGCACGTTACTCTGTGACTAAATATCAACACCCTGTAAGTATCTCAGAAATTAGGCATTTCCAGGCACATGTTTATGGGAACTTTTTTTCTTAAAATATCGTAATGAATCACATTTTAAATACGTTTGTGAAAGGGTGTTTTTCTAATAGACCAATGAAACGTTTTGAAAAGCTGTTTAGGGTTCAAATTTTCATTATTACTGGCTTTTGATTTGCTGGATAATTTTCCTCAAATTGTTTCTTAAGATTACTAACGCTCGGTTGATTGATTATTCAGATAAACTTGCTGGTAACTATCTGCAAGATATAAATTCACTATTCTATTGGTCGTTGAATAACTATAGCCGATCAATGGGATTACATATTGCGTTTTTATCTGTCAGATTGCATACTAGAAGGTGAATAAATCGGACCTTACCAAATCAACTTTGAAATTTTTTCAAAAATATTTTCAGGAATCTGAGCAATTTAAAACTTCCAGGAATTCATAATTAAAGTCTTTTCTTTAAATAGGTACAACAAATCTGAAGTCAATCTGAGCCTCAGAAATAGAATTAGGATTTTTTTAAAAAATCCTTGTAAAATTCTTAACACAAAATCAACTTTGGAATTTTTTCAAAAATGCTTCCAGGAACCTGAGCAACTTGAAACTCTCAGAAATTTATAATTAGAGTATTTTCTTTAAAAACCACAAATCTGAAGTCTATCTGAGCCTCAGAAATAGAATAAGAAATTTTTTAAAAAATCCTTGTAAAATTCATAACAAATCAACTTTGGAAATTTTTCAAAAATACTTCCAGGAATTTGAGCAATTTGAAACTTCTATTAATTCATAATTAAAGTCTTTTCTTTAAATACAACAAATCTGAAGCCAATCTGAGCCTCAGAAATAGGATTTATGAATTTCTTGAAAAATCGTAAAATTCTTAAAGAGATACTTATATATACCTATTTCGAAACTGTTAAGAGATTTAAGCCTATCGAACTTTATATTGAAATCAGCAAAAGCAGAGCCTATCCAATGATCGAGCTATTTAAATATACAGGGTGTCTCATTTGAAAAAAATGTATGTGTATTGTGTAGTATGGTATAGGTACAGGGAGCAGCGTGTTCGGAATAATTTTTAGTAGGTACATGGAGGATTATGGAAACCATAGGGCAAAAAAGAAAAGTGTGTACTTAAGTATTTTGTAATTCAAACTGCCCCATGTACTTCAAGTTATTTCGGACACCCCTGTATAATTTAAAACTTACTATCACTTCTAGAGAAAAATTATTTGCGCCACTGGAATCTGCGTAAAAACATAAATAAGAATCGGTTGTCGCCTTTTTGATGACTTATGAGGGAACCGAAATACAAGGGTGTCCCAAAATGCAGTATATCCAAAAACACCTTTTGTATCAGAAAAGCTAACTCCAAAAGCAACCGATTTACAACTAAAATGAGACACCCTGTATAACGTTGTTTTAGTAGACATAGAACAGAGTGCAATATATTCATCATAGTAGGCTCCATGTCAACTTTTTAAAATTTCTTTCCAGGGTATTCGCCATCAACATCAAATCCATGATAAACGTGACCAAGCAAGTAATCAAGAACCTCTTGGCAAGAAAAGCGCCGGGTTCCATTGTGAACATTTCCTCACAAGCCTCCGTAGCAGGTCTAGCCAATCACTCGGTTTACTGTGCTTCAAAGGGGGCAGTGGACGCGTTCACACGATCCATCGCTTTGGATTACGGCCGACATGGCATACGAGTGAACAACGTCAATCCTACTGTGATCATGACCGATATGGGACGATTGGGTTGGTCTGATCCCAAAGTCGCTGCGCCAATGTTGGACCGGATACCTTTGGGAAGGTACTTGAGTAATTTTGAGTCGATACATTTTGATTTCTGATTGGTTTTGTTTGCAGATTTGGCGAAGTGGATGAAGTTGTTAATTCTGTCATTTTTCTTTTGAGCGATATGTCTTCGATGACGACAGGATCTAATGTTTACGTTGATGGGGGTTATATTGCTGTTTAATATCTTGAAAAATATATTGGACAACACTGTAATTTACTATTTAATTACATAATGTAAACTTCATCCTTTTAATTCAATAAAACAACCATCAGAGTAACTCTCCTTGTCCAAACTTCCTTTCCTTATCACTAACTTGAACCACAGTGGCAGACCTGACCAGTGACGGCGTGTTTTCATAATAATTAAAACAAATTCCAAATAATAATAGAACTTTATTATTAATCAACGCCTGAATTTGCATAAAAATACAAGAGTTACGCTTAAAATAAAAACCTTAGAGTGATCCACGAATAAAATGATATAATCAAAAAAAAAATCAAGAGCAGTTTTCCTCTGAAAAAAAAAATGGCCAAGTCCCTGCACAACTTCTCCAATGGAAATTGTTCAGGGCAAAATACTGTCGACTCTAGCAGTTTTAATCAATTGGGATGATTTCTTCCTTGACAAAGAATTCCACAATTTCTTCTTCCACATTATCCGTATCCGCATCCAACTCGTCAGTATCCACATTATTCCTCAAAGCCATTCTCCTGGATTTCTTCTCTTCCCAACGGCTAATCTGTTGCTCCCTGTATTGATTGAATTTTTCCATAAGAGCTGCACGTTTTTCAATAAGTTCCTTAGAAGCTTTTGATTGCCTCATACGATCTTTGCTCTCAAATTGAGCATAATATTTCTTCAGGTTCTTTTTAATCTCTTTTTGTTGTTTTTCGGTGAGAGGCGTTGCAGGCCTGGGACGCCAAAGGATTTGCGCAAAACGTTCCAAGTTGATACGTTTGAGGATTTTGCCTTGGAAAGACCACATCCAATAACCTGTGTAAACAATTCAATAAGCTATTGCTGCAGTAATAATAAAATAAAACTTACCAGTATCCACTTTGCATTTCCAAAAAGACACTCCTGTAAAAATATATCTACCAGTAGGATCCCATTCAACATCAGACATTTGGAAATGATCAGTTGTATTCATTACCAAAAACTCGTTGGTATCTACAAATTCCAATGAGCCACCTCCATTGGCACCCAGCCCTGCTAAAACAATAAATTGCCCTCCAGGGGACCAAAACAGGTGGTTGCAAGCACGTTTTTCGAATTTTTTCAGCAAAATCGGGGCAAGGCCTACTTTGACTTCATAAAAACTGACATTGATGTTTGGCGATTCACCATGTATCATTGCAAATTTAGTACCAACAGGCTCCCAGGCAAAAGCCTGTATTGGCTCTTTAATTTCCACGCTGTCAACAGGCACCTGCTTTTCACGCATATGAAAAATTTCAAAGTTGCAATACATTCCAGAATACTTGGTTTCGTTTTTTTCTTTGCGCACCTTTGAATACCTGTCAACTTTTACACACAAATAATCCCCAGATTTCTGCCAATGAATTTTACAATCAGCCACATTAAACAGGTTCTTTTTCCTTATTTCATTCCTATTGGGCAGTTCTAATAAGGTAACACTAGCAGGTACGTCTTTGTCTTCTGCTACCCAATAAGCAACAACATTGTCAGTGGGCGACCAATTAAAATCCCTAATCCCATTGATTTTGATAGATTTTTTGTCCAGTAAACCAAAAGAAGGTGTTTCATAAATTGACAAAACATCATTGCCAACTCTACCAAAATACTTATCATCGTGGGACCACCTGAAAATGGGCCAAGCTGAAGGGCCTTCAGGATTGAAAGATCTTTTCTCCAATCCAGTCCTAACATCCCAAATAATAATGCTTTTTTGATCAGGATTAGCGGGATCTCCTTGTGCTGAAAAAGTAACCAAATATTTCTCGCAAGGAGAAAAATCAATATACTGCACATAAGCGTGAGTGAATTTTTTGTGCTGGGTAAATTGCGGCCCCGCCCACAAAGCTATTCCCAATTTATGGAAAGTAGCCAAATAAGTACCCAAAGGGGACCATTTTATGTAGGTCTGAGTCCAATTGTTGCGCTCCTCAACAAGAGTGGGTTCGGGCAAAGTGTTCTGCCAAATTTGTACGCTTTGTACATTAACAGTAACCACAGCAAATTGATCGTACGCGTCAGGATCCAGCAAATAATAATGAAGATCTGCTTGGCCTTCATAAGGACTGGGAGTGGGCGGTTCCCATTTGTCAGGGATTGAGTCATACTTGTCAAAGTCGGTGAATAAGTTTACCGATAAAGTGTGCTGCTTGTCGAGTTTCCAGTTGTTGGTCAAATTGACGACTTCCAAAACGTGGTTGGCGTTGGAGTATTCGAGGAAAACGTAGCCCTTGGTGGTACCGTCGGCGGTCACCGGGTAGTACTCGTTGACAATGTTGCCGAATTTATTGAAGATTTTGTTAATTACCGATTTGAGTTTTTCTAAACGGTTGGGGCCGACTTGCGGGACTCCGTCCACTACGATTACGTTTTCGTAGCCGTCGGTTTCTTTGGGTTTTTGGTGCAAAAGGTCTCCGAGAAGTTCTGAAAAATAAGGAAATTTGTTTTGAAACTAGTGTAGAGGAGGGCTTATCGATGTATAATACATCAATACGCCCTTGATTAAGGTGATTCATATTTTTTGCTAATTCCAGGCTCATGAATTTATCTTCAAGACAAAAATTAAACTAGGAAAATTAAAAAATAGAGAGAAGTATCGATACCTATAAATATCGATAAACCCTCCTCCAAACCAATGTATTTCTAACCTCGGGATGCCAACGATATATCGATATATGTATTGATAAAATTGATATTGAAATACCCCCTAAGGAATAACTTTTATGATGACGTCATCTGTATACCTTTGAGAGGTATGCTCACACAATAATCATTATACTACCTGATAACGTTATCTATTTGCAGTTACCAGACATCCTCTCTCATTTAGGAACTTTGACATTGGTCATTTAGCATTATAAATCGATATATGATACCTATACATCAGGGGTAAACCACCTTGAAAAATATTTACACCAGAATCTCAGTTTTAACGGAATCCTACTGAAAATGGATGAAATTTTGGACTAATGAGTAGAAAGTACATTTCATGAGTAATCTGAGTTCATTTTTGAACCAGCAATTAACTCATCAATGAGTCATTCTGATATCAAAATGAGGATTTTTTGAATTAATGAGTTAATGCATGCAAAAATGATTAAAATCTACAAAAAACACTTGTGAAAAATACGGTTTGCTGGAAGTATATGGGAATAAATACTCTGAAAGTACATGAGAATAATTTGGAAATACATGGAAGTATTTGTAAATTTCTTATAACTTCCAACCCCACTTTTAACATATTTTTGGGCATTTTCATTAAAAGCTCAAGAGATACGTGTATGTTCTCTCACTGTGTTCAATTTTTTTTTTTTGGTCAACTGTTCCAGTTACCCTAATTTTGAGGCCATTAAAACAGTGACCCCTATTTTCTCATGCATTCACATAGTAATAATTCTGACGACTGGAATATATTGTAACGTATATGTGAAGATTGATTGATTGAACTGATTTGCTTGGGAATTGTGCGAAATGCAACAAAAGTATTACTTAAGGAACAGAAAATAAACCTATTTGCTTTGTGAGTAATCCATATCTGCATTTATGCACGATTTTCAGCACAGTTGACAGTTCTTTTTCTACTTCATTCATATATTCCTCCACCACCGTATCCTCCTACTGACAATATACCTTGCCCTCTTGTTCCAAATACAAAGAGTCTTATTGTGGACCTTGAGATATCATCTTAGTGTTTTGGACATCTTCAATTGGTTTTTTCAGAGCCAATTTGATGTATATTCACTCGTCCGCACTTTTGGGGGTTCTACAGAACTACTAGGACAATATATGTTAATGTTAATCCTTAAGTTGACCTTACTTGGAAATACCAGGGAATACGAGAAGGAATACTTGGAAATACACTTTCTTACATTAGAAATTTGCAAGAGAAATCTTAACACATGCTTTTTATACAAAATTGTAAATAATTTAATAATTGATTGTACTTCTCTGTTAGGTAATATTTATATTCATGTACCTGCAGATTTACAAAACCAGACAGAATGAGATATTCAATATATTACATCACAGGATGCCAATTAACTGCTAAGAGAAGAGAAGTAGATCTCTTTACTCTTTAATTTGCCTTTGAAGGGATTGAAAAACAGAATTCAACAGAGCATTTATTGTTCAAAATTTGTGTTGTTTTCAATCATCAAGAATTTGAATTTTCTTAATTTTGGTGGAAAGCTATGATTAAATAACCTTAAAAAAGTATAAAATTGTTCCACTGCCCATTTACTTCTTGTTTGTTAGTGACATAGATGTCAGACCAGCTTTCATGGGATATGCATTCTATGCATTTGTTTCCCTTGGAGAAATTTCTTTTATACTGGGGTTAATCGTTGACAAAATTTCCTAATGTAAAAACAAATTTTTGGAAGTGTTTTAGAGTATTCTAATAGTTTAATGAAAGTTTTAAGTTACCTCTAAAGTGTCATATGATGATAAGATATTCTACAAGTTTCCAGTTCTAGATTGTTTCCAAAAGTTCCATATGATTTGTAAAGTGTTCTAGAGTATTCCAAAAATGTTGCTGAAAGTTCAGATGTGTTCTGCTCTGTTTTAGATTATCTCTCAAATTCTAAAGTGTTCTGTTCATTTATCGATGCTCTTAAAGATTCCAATTTGTCTCAAACAAATGCAGGAGGATTGAAAATTGAATTAAAAGTCTTCTGAAGCTTATCAAAAATCCAAATTACTCTAGAGCGTCTTAAAGTTTTTAATTGGTTCCTTAATAATTTTGAAATTCTGGGGTGTTCTAGAAGTTATTAGAAATCTTAAAATGTTCTTAAGGTTTAAAGTCAGGCCTATAGTTTATTAGAGCAACGCGAGATGTCATCGCTGTCGTCCCTATAGTGAGCCCTAACTTGATAGTCAAAAAAATATAGAAATCTTCATTTGGTTAAATTGTATGATGGAACGTTTTTTCTTTTTTTTTGCGGAAATTCGAAGTATTATTCTGTTTTACATAAACAGGGTTGTAATTTGGACCAACGCAAATAATTTTGAACGTTCATCCGTCGGATTTTTTTTTAAACAATCTATACAGGCGTATTTCCAACTATTTTTGCACTAGTGAGAAAACAACAAGTTCAAAAAATTTGAAAAAAATATATGTCGCGTAGAATTGCAATAGTAAGTCGTAATAAAAATAACGGGAAACTTCATCTATTCGTTTTGAAATAAATGGTGAAAAACCACTTTTTTTTCAGTTTTTGCGATATAACTCAAAAATGGCGAGTCAAATTTGCTTTAAAAAAATATGGATTAAAGTATATCGATAACCATAAAACATATAATTTTTTTTTGGAATTTTTGACCACAAGGTTCAGAAAATACGTGTTGACTATAAACCTTAAGAGCTCTTGGATACTTCTGTAGTTATCTCATCTGTTTGAAAATGAAAGGTTTTTCATACATAAAAATAGGAATGTATCAAGAACAAAATATCTACCAAACACATCTCTAGCCACTATAATAGAATTAGACGGGTTTTTGCTAACCCTGCTTGAAATATTGGTAATATCAATATCAAGGTAATTATTATGTTATTTATTTATTGATAACTCTGGAACAACCTAAGTAAATACAAGCAAAGTCTCTGTACAAACTACAAACCTACACACAAAAAAGGAAAAATAAAAACAAATACTAAGCTGAGTGCAACAATTTTCTCAAAAAAACAGTAAAAATGTCCTAATCATTCCTCATTACAAATAGCTAACATTTTGCTTGATGGGGATGACATGTTTATAACAATAATATTTGAAAACCTTAATTGTACCTCAGGTATTCTCTAAAACTTATGTAGTTGATAAGATCACAGTTATTATAATTAATACTTGATATTAACAAGAAAATAAATAAACATCACATTATGAGTTAATACAAAGAAATTCTTAGTATTAGATGTAATACCAGAAATATTTACAAGTATTACTAAAATAAGGGTAATCAGTGTACAAATTATGGTAGGGTGGTTGACCCCCTGCAAAAATCACTTGTGCAAAATACTTCTAATGATCACAGTAATTTGAAAATTTCAGGATTTATGAATTGAAGTTTCCTCTTCGTGGAAAAATTAATTTGAAGCTTTAAACCACATTTGGAAGCTTATATTAATGCATACAAAAATGATTAAAATACTTCTTATGATCACACTCACAGTAACTTGTTGAAAATTTCGAGATTTATAAATTGAAGTTTCCTCTTTGTGGAAAAGTTAATTTCAAGTTGATTTGAAGGTCCAAACTGAATATTAAAGCTTTTTCTCAGGTTAATGCATGTGAAAATGATTAAAATCTGCAAAAATTGCTTGTGCAAAATACTTCTAATAATCACAGTGACTTGAAACTTTCAGAATAATTCATGAATTGAAGTTTCCTCTTTGTGGAAAAATCAATTTGAAACTCAAAACTAAATTTAGAAGCTTTTTTTCACGTTAATGCATGTAAAAATGATTAAAATCTGCAAAAATCACTTGTGCAAAATACTTCTAATGATCACAGTGACTTGAAACTTTCAGAATTTATGAATTGAAATTTCCTATTTGTGGGAAAGTTAATTTGAAGTTGATTTGAAGCTTCAAACTAAATTTAGGAGCTTTTTTTTACATTAATGCATGTAAAAATGATTAAAATATGCAAAATGTTGAATATAATAATGTGTAGCATATGGAAATTCACTTAAGTTTTACCCAATGAGTTTTACCACACATATTATTGTTTTACCCGCACTTTACCTGTGTTTGTAGTAATGTTAATTTCTGATAGATTGTCTAATGCACAGATTAACCCCTTTTAAAGATAAGAAACTCATGCCTTTTTCCCTATCTTTAGTCTTACTCATACAATGAGTTGCATGACTGCCACAGCATAGGGGCGGCACTAAGTAGTGTACACTCCAGTGTGTTCAGTGTTGTAGCAGTAGTCATGTTTTTTCAAATAATTTGTCCCTAATCGATATAAATGAAATAAAACAACAACATTTCAGTACCATTTCTTTCTTTATAGGAACAGCCTTAGATACAACAATAATAGAAAACCATATTGAAAAAAAAAAACAAGTTTATAATACTGCAAATAAAAGTCACTACCAGCAAAGTCTTTGAGGATAAAGTGGTGATTGGCATGAATTCAAAAGCCGCAGTAATACTTATGCTATAAATCAAGGTATACCTATTTTTAAGAATTTCAATGGTCTTATTTGGTGCACAAATCACACTTCATGTCATCTAATGTAATGTTTTTCCCATTATTTCACATTATATTTTCTACTAAAAATCGCTTTCAGTGTACAGTAGTGTCGCGATAATCTGATCCCGCGATAATCCGTATGCTTCTGTAATCCGCATCGCATTTTTGTTCCCTTGATGTACTCTGTAATCCGGATTTCACTTGATTCAGTAATCCGAATTCATTTAC